TTGAACTTCATACATAAGATTCTCTATAGCACTTGCATACTCCAATTGAGTAACTGCTTTGCCATAATTTTTTATGAGTTTTAAACTTGGATTAAGGGGCTACTAAATTCTTTTGTATTCAAATATTTGAATTTATTTATCACATTCTCGATATAATGTAATTGACTTAAATGGCAACCCCCCACTAATTTTAGTAACTTTTAATACTCAAAATGATATTCACTTATCTAAGATCATTCATCTTGAATGTGGAAGAAAGAAATCTCTTCGTTTCTTTTATTCCATTCATTTGATTACACATAATCAACACGTCATCAACATATAAACAAATAAATGTAATATAATTATCACATAATTTGGAGTATAAGCATTTATCTATACTATTATGCTTGAAACCAAATGAAACACTAGCCAAGTCGAATTTTTCATGTCATTTCTTAGGCGCTTGCTTCAAATAGTATAACGATTTCACAAACTTGCCCACTTTATGTTCATTTTCGGGTAGAGTAAACCCTTCGACTTGCTCCATATAAACGTCATCATCAAGATCTCCATTCAAGAATGCCGTCTTAATATCCATTTGATGAATATGCAAGTCATGTATGGACACTAATACAAATAATATCCTAATTGATATTATTCTAGCTACCAGTACATAAGTATCAAAATAGTTTATTCATTTCTTTTGTTGATAACCTTTTAGCTACTAATATATCCTTAAGAGTATTAAGAGAACCATTAACGTCATATTTTTTCCTAAACACCCATTTACATCCAGTAGATTTGGAATCGGGTGGTAAATCAACAAGTTTCCATATGTTGTTTGATATAATTGAATCTATTTCATATTTAATCGCATCTTTCCAAGAGGTGCTATCACGAAAAGCCATAGCCTCTTTATAAATTTTAGGATCGATTTCCATTTGTAGACCAAATGAGTCATTCTTACGAAATTCTTCTCATTTCCTTTTCCTTCTACTAAGTAAAAGGAAATAAGTTGAGGGTCAATTTTATCATGTCTTGAAGACTTTTCAATTCGAGTTCTTTTACTTTTTCATGGCTCACTAGATTCATTAACCTTTTTAAAAGATGTTTTATCTTGTGTTCCACTAGAGCTTGAGATCTCTTTAAAAGTTTCTCTTAATTCATTATTCGAAGATAGTGAATTCTCAAAGAACTTTACATCACTGAATTTAATAATCACATTAGTTTCCAAATTTAATAATCTATACGATTTGCTATTACTAACATATTCAACAAAGGCACATTTAATGCCTCTTGGATCTAACTTGATCATATTAGGGTTCGTGTTCTTACAATAAATAAGATACTCCTATACTTTGAAGTACTTACTGTTAGGTTCTCTTCCTTTCCACAATTCATGAGGAGAAACTTTCGTAAATTTAGTAGAAATTCTATTTAATAGTCTTCACGCACTCAGCAATGTTTCACCCTATAAATTAAATGACAACTTGGCATAATTTAACATAGTATTTATCATTTCAACTAAGATTCTATTTTTTCTTTCAACTAAACTATTTTGTTCAAGAATTCTAGGTACGGAATATTGATGGATTTTGCCTTATGTTCACAAAACAAGTTGAAATCACTATGAAATTATTCATCTTCTCTATCGCTTTTTAAAGTTTTTATTCTCTTAGTTAAGTGACTTTTAACTTCATTCTCATATGTTTTAAACATATCAAATGTATCGTATTTATGTTTCATCAATAAATATATGTATAACTAGAGTAATCATCTATAAAAGTAATGAAATACCTATTTTCACCCATAGTTAAATTTCCATTTGATTCACATATATTTATATGAATTAATTTCAAAATAATAGAAGTCATATTTACACTTTGATAAGGCTTCTTAGTCATCTTAATTTCTACATAGGTTTTACATTTAAATACATCATTTTCATTATATGATATTAAGTCACATTTCAACATTCTTTTCATATTACTATTTCCTATGTGACTTAATCTAGCATGTTATGACGTAAGTAAATTAACAATATAAGCAAAGTCATATTTATCATTAATCATCTTGTATACAATACACAATTTGACAATTCCTTCACAAAAATAGAATTTTTCAACAAATTTCTCGTTTAAGGATAGTACAAGTTTACCTAACTCATAAACACATTTTATGCCTCGTTTTCCTAGGAAATTTTCGCTAACTAAGTTCTTATTCATATTGGGAACATGTAGCACATTGGTCAGGTAACGGTCTTGCCGAAAGTGAAGATGATCTCTATATTTCCTTTTTCAACCACCTTAGATCGGACTTCGTTACCAATTTGAATCTCTTGATCTCCATCCACTTCATAATAAGTTTTGAATAAAGACTTCTCATATGATATATATACGGTTGCACATGTATCATACCACCATCCAGAGACTTTTCCCTTGATTGCGTTAATCTCACTTACGGTGGCCACAATTTTGTCTTCTTTGTTGGAGTTCACATTTCATTCGGACTAGTTTCGTTTTCGACGTCGACATTCTTTGCATAATGTTCACATTTCCCGCATACAAAACTAGGGTTGGATATGGTTCGGTTCGGTTCTCGTTAGAACCGAATCAACCCGAAATTTTCAGATATTTAGTAAGTGAAACCGTCGGGTCCAAATTTAATTATGGAACTGTTCAAGTTCGGTTCCATTCGATTCGGTTTGGTTCCATTCGGTTCCGTATTATAATTAAATTTTTTAATATATACAAAGTTACATTAATTTATTTAATGATATGTTCAATATTAGCTCTTACAAAATAACGTAGTCCAATCTTATGTGTCTTTTGTGTCTCTCTTTGTTGAATTCTTCATAAATTTGATTATTAAAATCACAGGAAGAGAAAGTTAGCGAGCTCAAAATAATTAAGAGAGATGTTGTAGAGTTTTAATTCGATTTTATCCAGTAGAAACGACACTACAGTAGAGTAACGGATTTGGATAAAATTGAGGTCAATTTGATTAAGTTGATTTTGAACTGAAAATTAGAAATAGAAAAATCATATTTTGTGGTTTGAACTAAATTACTTAATTAACAAATTTATTTAGAAAAATAAAATAATTTTGCTTATTTAAAATAAATAAATTAAAAAATTAAGGAGATTCGATTTTTTGGATCTTGGCCTAGAACCAGAATCGAACCGTACCCATCGGTTTTTTATTCAATTACCCGTTCGGGTATTTAATTTGAGAAGAACCGTCGGGTTCGGTTCGGTCAGTTTGGTTCGGGAGTTTTGTCCAGCCCTATACAAAACAACCAACTTTGGACGTCTTCTTGAACTTGTTAAGGTTCTTTGAAGGCTTTCTCTTGTTGGATTTGTTTAAAGGTTTGATTTTCTCTACATCATTGGTCTTGGAATTGCCTTCATAAGAGTTGTCACTCTTATCTCTCACCCTTAACTCTTCTTCATTACAAAGATGTTTTTACAATTATTCTAAAGAGTAATCTTCGAAACTATGCATGGGTTTCTTTCGATATACTTTCCAAGTTCCCGAGAGTGTTACGATAATTACTCCCACTTGGAAAGTTTTTGGAATCTCAATTTTAACCGCCTTCAACAATTAACAAGGACTTGTAATTCATGTATTTGGGGAAGAATAAGAATATTATCAAAAAATTAAAAGTCAAAATACCAAGAAATTAAGAATTTCTTGAAACATTCTTCTTCGACTTTTTACTTGTTTTTCAAAGCTTTCCATATCCCTTTTGTCGAAGATGTGTTGTGTAGAGATCATACAATCAGTTCGATAATGCATTGAGTATGTAACCATGGCAAATCAATTCATGTCTTGTCTTTTTTGTCTTTCGACTCTTACGACATCGATTTCTCCACCAGTTGGTTCTGGTAACGGTGCCAAATCAGGATCAAGGATGTAGAATATCTTCGTCGCCATCAGAACTTCAATTTATCTTGACATGTCGTGAAATTCGTTCCATCAAAACGGTCCAAACGAACGAGATCTTGATTCATCAACTTAGTCATCACCATAGTGGTTTCTTTCTTCATTGCAGAAATATCGTTTGAGATTATTATAAATATGGTTCACACATAATAGGGAATGGAGAAGAAACAAATAACCAAAACAAGAAAGTGGGAAGGAAGATGATAGTTTGAATACCTAATCGTTGTTCTCAAATGATATTTGCCTCCTCTTGAATTGAATTTAATGCTTAAAGAGATTTTTGGAAATGGTTTGCAAGATTAATCAAGTATTGTAAATGATTTAACACTTAAACACTTAATGAAGTCCTCCAAATACATATATAGGGAAATGATCTAATGGACACTGCTGCTTAGAGAAGCGATGACATGTCACAATAATTAATTGGTGAATCATTAAATTCATGAGACCTATCATTAACGTATTCACCAATCAAATGGTGTGCAATGTTATCGGTGCTTAACATAAACTAAAAACCGGTGATGAGAAAATGAAATTGATATAGGTTTTTAATTATTGACTTTTCAAAATTGGCTCAATAGTATTTTATCTTTGACTTGATTTTATGCCGATCTAATTATTGCTAAAACTAATGTTCTAAACATTATTGTTCTTGCTTGCACATTACCACCTAACATTTAAGATTGTCTTTTATCATCTAAGAGTTGAGAATACTAATTTACAAGTCAAATTCTTTAATATTCACATTTGGAGTGGCAAAGTGTGCCTTCTCTCTTCATATCAATTTCTCGAGTATGATGACGACATTATTAATTGGGAATAAGAGAAATCATTTGATGAATACATAGTACACAAAATTTCATAATCTAATGATCTATTGTTTTAGAGGGTACATGCGAATTTTTTGATGATTTAAAACCAATGTATATGAAGAAAAAAATGCGAAGATTAAAAATATTCAACGATCATCATTAAGTGCGATTTTATCGAACTCATAATATAATATTGAACAAGCGTTTGATTTATTGATTGAAATGCCAAAAATGAAAAAACAAGAAAGAAAGGTCTAAACGATTCTAGCAAGCACACCAAATCCCCAACGCAACCAACCACAATGTGTGGCCCGAAAATATCCCTGATCCCCCACATTTTACACTTTCATGTGGACAAGCTTTCTCGTTCGTTGAACAGTTTTTTCGTATTTTGGCACGATTCTTCAATCGTGTCTCTTTCCCTCCGATGCCACAGGAGATACCATCGAATCTTCCCTCATCTCATTGCTTCCCTTTAAAGGCAATCACGATTTTGCATACCCAGAAAAGTAGAATTCCTACTGTTTGTTGTGATTTTTATACGGGGAGAGGCGAAAACAATGAGAGCTCTAAATTCCCAGTTAGTGTTGATCGATTTGCACAGTTCTTGGTACTCAGCTAAGCAGATCCCCATTTCAACATATGGGTATCTGAAAGAGTGTAAATTGGGCGCTCCTACGTTCTCAGCGGCGTTTCGTCGAACACGTGGGAAGATATCGTCTTCACGGGCCCGGGCACCAGAGGTTCGGTCTCCTGAGATTCGACGGCCGAGAGACTTGTCCAATTCAGGAAATGGCTTGTTATCAATTTCCTCTAATGTGGCTTCCACGTCGAGTTCGAGTTCTCAGGAGAATGAGGTCGTCTCTGACTTGAAGTTGTTTCTTGAAATAGTGCCTCTGAGAATGAGGAACGAGCTGCTTAGACACAAGGATATAGGGGAGCTAATTGAGGTGGTTATGGACTTGGGAAGGAAGCCACTTGCACGATTTCCATCTGGAGATTGGGTGATCTCAGAGCTGCCTGTGAAGCTTGAGGATCTATACGACGCAATTTCAAAAGTTGTCTAATTAATGCCATTTGATATGATACTAAAAGCTATATATAATTAAACACACAAAATGATTCACTCAAGTTATGAAGTTGGAATCTGTTATCTTGCTTTTGATCATTCATTGGCTCACTTCTTGTTCTTGTTTCAAGAACAAATATTTTATAATAACGACATTAATATTTTAAACCCTGCGATGAAGAATTTGTATCAAGATTAATATCCTACTTATGAGAAAGAAATTACTTGAAAGCTATTATGAGTAGATAAAAATCTTAATTTGAGCACTTTCACTTGTATTCTTTATATAGAGGTCAGCTTATCAGGTTTTTAGTGTAAAGTCAATTGATTGTCCACAGGTTGGGGATTTCTCCGAAGACAACCGCTCTGGTATTAATCACTCTCTACATCGTATAAGTGCAATTCGAAATCGTAAATTGCAAATCATTGGCCTTACTTGCCGGGTGGGACGGGCTGTATCTGGAAGTGCTGATATCATACGGGACTTAGTAGAAGGAAGCGGCTCCATATTGGTTATAGGGCCTCCTGGAGTTGGCAAAACAACCTTAATCAGGTATATTCTATATTTCTAGTTGATCCTTTGGAAACCTGTTAAAATTTGTCACCTATTGCTTGTCATAGTTTCTTTAGATATGTTTGACGGTCAGGTGCTAAATAATGAGTAGTTGGCTACTGCTTAATAAAGAAACATTAGCTACTGCTGCATTTATTGCAACATAGCTAGTTTTATCTGACTGGAAAGAAATTTAATACTGAACAGGTTTGATAACATTTATCCGATAGGGAAAACAATATCGACGTGCAATAGTGATTACGTAACTTTGATTGTGCAGAGAAATTGCCAGAATGCTGGCTGATGACCAGAAGAAACGTGTAGTTATTGTTGATACGTCGAATGAAATAGGAGGTGATGGAGATGTTCCTCATTCTGGTATAGGTCGTGCAAGAAGGATGCAAGTCCCAAATGTTCATATGCAGCATAATGTGAGTGGTACACGTAATGCTTGTCCTTCTGTTTCGTATAATTTGTTGATGCTCCAATTTTAGTCAGTGAATATGTACTATCTTTTGGATCCTAAACAGGTAATGATTGAAGCAGTTGAAAATCACATGCCTCAGACCATCATAATTGATGAAATTGGAACCGAGTTAGAAGCAATGGCTGCAAGTACAATTGCCCAGAGAGGAGTCCAGCTAGTTGCCACAGCACATGGAATAACTGTAGAGAGTATCATGAAAAATCCCGCTTTGCAGATCCTTATCGGTGGCATAGAGGTACAAACGGACACCCTTGCATTTCATTTTCATTTATTTGCGTGTTACACAATGGACATTAGTATCATGTTGAAAAACTGTAATAAGCTTAGCCATTTACACTTCTTGTCATATGGATCAATAAGGTTAGCAGTTTTGAAGTTTCTCAGGTCAGAATCGTCAATATTAAAACTTGTAAAGCATATTTGGTAGAAAATATGGACAGTACTAGACGGTATAATGGATGAAAATTAGCTAAAATCTTGTTTAATATACTTTCTACGTCATATCCATTAGTGCATACTAAACATGCATTTAGTTCATTTAACAACAGAGTGACACTTCAAATTTTGTTTTGTTTGAAAACAGAGTGTCACTCTTGGTGATGAGGAAGCAAGGAAGAGGAAAGTGCAGAAAACAATTCTTGAGAGGAAAGGGCCTCCTACATTTACGTGTGCTGTTGAGATGATATCAAGAACTGAATGTCGTGTTCATCATAGATTGGATGCAACCGTGGATGCCATACTAGCTGGTATATTCAAAGTCTTGTTTCGACTATAATTTTTAATATTAATGCGTTGTTCTGATAGTGTAGCTTGACTGCAATCTGTATGGACACTAGGGAAATCTCCCCTATTTGAAGTCCGCCAAATGAATCTGCAAGCTAATACTTCGTTGAAATCTACTCCATGTACTGAAGAAGAACAAGTTGAAAACCCAAAAGTGACAAATAATGAAAATAAACAAACTAGAATAGAGTCTGATATGGAAGATGATGAGTATAGTTCTAAGTCCAAGAAAATGGGCACGAATGGGTCTGTAGGCTCAAGGAGCTCCCCAGCGCATGTTTACACTCACAAGGTAACTTCTGAGTCTTCCATTCTTATTTTTGTCTTTTATGTATGATGGAGAATAAAATAATTATGATAGTTTTTACCATTTTGTGAAATATTTGATTGTACAAACATAAATGATGTAGCACACTCTTTGCAAACAGTGCCTTATTTTTATACAGGATTTATATCCTAGCGTTGTGAGTTAATTATATAGGGATGCAAGATCAAATTTATCCTGCTTTTTGCTGTATTTTAGATACAAGAAGCTGATTTGTTACAAGTAGCAGCTGTAATGGAGCTTGAGGATGAAATAGACGTAACCAATGATATTGGCTCTGCAAATGCTATTCTAACATCTAGTTCCGAAATTAAACAGAACCCTTGGATCCGCGGTGTGGCAAAGTTTCACCATTTGCCTGTATTTGTTATTAAGGTATCATAATATTTGTTCTTTCCCAAACAAAGTATTACTTTAAAGATTTATTGTATAAATGTTTCAATCTGTTGTTCTTGGGTGAAACTGCAGTCAAATACAATGGCACAAATGGTGAAGGCAATTCGTATGATTCTTGGAATGGATTCATTTGGCTCTTTACAAAAGCAATCAAGCAAAAGTTCTTTGGATATTGAGATCAAAGATGATGCACCAAAAAGAAAACCATCGCTGGAGGAGATTGATGCCTTGGAGGTGCATTCTTTCCCCACGTTAATTTGTTCTCCTCTATAATTTTTATGTTTGAAAGTTGAATTATGTGATAGTTTGGGCTAGTACGAATAAAATTGCAATTTGTAGAAATTAATGACCTTGGATATACCGTAATCTCAAAGTGGTATCATCCATGTGAATGCTAGGGCAAATATATTGCAAATTGTGGAACTTATAATCTTGAAAGTAATTAATAGCATTTTTGGCTAAGCTTATAAGTAAATTTTTGCTTCCATGCATCTTTGGATAAGTTACTTTTTTTCTTACAAGTAGGAAAAGTAAGTTATTTCGACATAGAATAGGATGGACTTGCAGAAAAATTGAATAACTAAATTTTTATTTTCTAACTTTGACAAAATAAAATGATTATTTATTTTAAAACTTATACTTGTATGAACTTATTAAGTGAACTTTATTTTAGCTTAGCCAAACATGCACCAAATTTTATATTGGTAGCATCATCTCAAGTGGTGTTCACCTCAAGTGATAATCAAATACTTGCTTATAGAAGAAGTGATTCCCCAATGAGGGGAACTGTAAGTGTGTAACATATAAGTTGATTATTATGTTGGAACTATTCCATTTTGGCTGTGTACATATATAGAGCTTCCACTTGCTTGCACTCACTGGAAGAAGCGAATAGGGTTGGGTGAACGATGAATTTGAATGTGCATCAAGGATAGAAGGGTAGGTCTTGTCTCATTAATTTAACATAGGACACTATTAATTTGACAAGATAGGCTTTTGGCACGAAGATGTTACCTAGTAGTGTGTACTTTCCTGACATCCTAGTTCTTGTTATATGATGAGTTAAGATCATGGCCTTCGGGCGATTGCTAGGTAGTATGTTCTATTATGAAATAATTGGGGAAAAAAACCAACCAACAGATTATTATTATTATTATTATTATTATTACTTTTTTTTTTTTTTTT